CGGTGTCATGTGAAGAATACCGGAGGCGTGGAAGGGCGCAGGTGACTGGCACGGCGAAAACCCGCACCTTAGCGCGTGTCATCATCGCCTCGGATCCCTTTGAGTGCGAGTCCCATAGAGACCACAGTAAGGAGAATCCATTGCAACCTCAGTCCACCAATTAGCCGCTCAGGATCAGTATTGAAACATAGACAAAGACGACCTTCAAAAAGTATTTTAGCCAATCGCCAGGCTAAATATCCCCAACTAATTAATGCAATATGCAGTATGGCAACTAGTCATCTGCTGAATTTTCGATTTTGTGTTCCAAAATGATTATGCGACAAGTCGACGTAATTCGGTTGACTAAGACTGATAGTTTTTTGCCTAATATCCCAGATAGGGACGTCACAGGAATGGAAGTTTTCATAGCCTCACGTCCAAAGAGAATTTTTCCTCCTTAAATTTCCGTACGGTTTCTGGTGACGGTATAGTCGGCTGCGTCACCAGGCCTCCTTGAAATGCCCGCGAATACTTTGCGGTTTTCAGTGTTCTCAGTGGGTTTGCCCAGCGTGGTAGGTTTTGATGTTTGTTTTTGTAAAAACCTTTAAAACGATTCATGAAAGCTTTTACCGATGCAGTGTTAGACGTTCTTTTTATGGAGACGAGGATTTAGGTCCTATTTGTAGTTCCATCCACCAATGAGACCCAATCGCCGAGGAAGTGGAACGTCCACTGCGAAGGCCTGTGATGAGTATGCTACTGATCAGATTAGGAAGTCATTTCTCTAAAATTGCTTTTCTGGTGTATCTCGTTTATGAACGTCCGCGCTCCTCGTATTTTTACAAAAAGTGAACGGAAGAGTAGAGTATTTTGCCTAAACGATATCGATAGTCCTTCTGCCGCATACGAAAAAACTACATTTCCCCATTATATTAGAACCTGCTTTGTTACCTTTCTTTACTCTTGGACTTCGTTCTACAATTATTAATGTGATTGTATAAATAGTAAACCACGATTTCAATTTTGAACGCTCTACTGACTCTGTTTCCAAATTACTCATCCTCAAGAACTTAGTTACAAAACAAGTACTTTGCCATTTGGGTAAAAGTCAAAATCGCTGTTTAGTGCTCGGTCCTTTTGCGTTTAGGTTTGTATGCTATTCTTATGCGGGGAAATTATGGCTTTGTTCGAACAAATGGTTGCCTGTAGGTGTTTTTGCTGCATTTTACAGTACAAAATTATAAATTTGCAAATCAGAATTTCTAAACAGGAGAAAATTTCTGTTCTGCTGAAAATAACTTACATGCACATATTTTGCCTTATCTGAGTCACGCTGATAGTAAAATCCATTTTGAGGTTGACGACGATAGTTTTGGTGAGCTCGATATCATCTTTAAAAAACTGTGTGCCAATGTGCAGATGTGGTTTAAGACGGCCATTATTCTAGGAAATTGGGTTAAGACAAGTTAACTTTTTATCGCTCCCCCCTTAAGTCGTTGAAATTAAAAGCTGCTACCCGTGACTCACTAGGAGGAAATCTAATTAGCAAGGAAGTATTTTCTCGTTCTAACTTCCAGACCACTCCAGTTTCGTGTTATTAATCGGCCGCCACGAGCTGGTAATTGCCGTTGGCGTGAAAGAAGGGGGGCTTTAGACGACCTCTACCACACTGCGAGCCTATTATGCCACAAATTTGGGGCAGTTTTATAGTCGTGAATCTTC